TGTTATCCCTAGCACATTGAAATGCTACTACAATATATTTTATTTTGTCATATTTTGTACCCATCTTCCATGTGAATTCCCTATTACCATTAAGGATATTATAGCTTTCGAATTGTCTATAAATGAAAGGCATTTGTACTAACTTACTGCTTTCGAAAATGTTCAATAATTTATTCTGCATTTCAAGACTAGGGACAATCTTTGGAATAATCCATTGTAATCTTTTGATGTTCATCTTCGCTGTAAATTTTTTAGCATCTGACGATACAATGCTATTTTTATTTTCAAGAGATCTGTAGAGTGATAACTGATGCTTCCTACCATAGACTATTTTGTTGTAGCATTCAGCAAATCCAAAGATATGTGTCAACGGAATGCAAAAAGTTATAGTGCCTTTTCTATTTTTCGTATATTTATTTATCTTGTATGTTATAATATCCTTAGTTTCTAAAATCCAGCCAAAAGTATTCTGCTTGTTCATAGTACTACTATAAGTCAAAAGACCTTTCATCAAACTAGCTCTACCAGGATCCATTATGTTTTCTACTTGAACACCATCCATACTATATGTTGCTCTATCAAACAAGAACATTGGTGCATTATTAGTTAAGGAGACTTCATCAGTTTCTGCTAAAGCAGCGTCATCTAATTTGGAAAGTTCTACTTCGAGGTAAATGTAAGACTTATGCAAGTGTAGATACTGATCACATGTCTCAATAACAAAATTAATTTCTCCATGTTGATTTAAACTAGAACCTGAAGAAGGAAAAACACTTATGAGATTCTCTTTTTGAATGGAAGTATCAGTCACAATAGGAGCGTCAACTACGAGTATTCTATCAACGGCTTCTATCATTTTTGATGATTTATATAGCAAGAATTTAAAAGATTTTTATCAACTATTAAATGCGTATAAACTTTAGAACTGTAACGGTGTTTTTATTCTTGATATGGTTTCAAGAAGCATCCACCAAGCCTATTATTTGTACGGAAAACTCCCCAATCCAATATTTTAGAATACCCAAACTACACAAATGCAATTATCATAGAATGCTAAACAGTAAATCAGAAATAGTTCAGTATGAAGTATTCAAACCAAACATTATTGAATATGTTTCAGATGCAAAACTATGTAAAAAATTAGTTAGCGAAGTTTCAGTATATACTGACCTTTCTGGATATGAACACTTGGTTGAAAAAGAGCTTAATCATTATCCAATTACACTTTCCGAATGTAGAGAAATGATCAATAACAAGAAATGTGATTATGGAACGTTATCAAAAGGCACCTCTAACACATGGAGTACTAATAACAAAATTGATGTAGATTATCCAAATAGATTTACCAGCATTTTCACCCCTAAAAGATATTACAAGGAGAATTGTATAGTTATTGAAACAAAGGTTTACTCTCATTTCAATCAATCTAAACCAACTAACATTCTTGCCAACATGAACAATTGCAAATATCAAGATGGATTTTGTGACATAAAGAAGAATGAAATTATCACTTGGGATGTTAACAGAGATCAGAAATGTCAATACATCTCGATAGGAATACTTGATGGGATATACAATAACAAACTTTGGGTTAACAATAAAAACCAAATCGCATTAAACTTTCAATCAAACAAAACTGTGACTGATTGTAACATAGACCTGATGATTAGTGATGAAGGCTTTGCCGTAAGAAAAATTAATCGAGCCCCATCCCAATACGCTCCAAGCCAAATTCCTGTTTCAATTCCAACATATCCTCAAAGACAACAGCATGAGGATGACAGAAGAAAACGAGAGCAAGAAGAACAAAGAAAGCGTGATCTGGAAGAACGAAAGCGAGAACAAGAAAGGCAAAAACAGTATGAAGCAGATCTGAAAGATTTTGAGAAAAGAAAACAAGAGAAACTGAAGAAGGAAGAAGAATTTGAGAAAAAGAAACAAGAGAAAACTAAGAAAGCTCAGGAAGAGGCTGAAAGAAAAGAAGTCGAAACGTTGAAGAAACAGCGGAAAGAAGAAGATTGGACAGTTTACGATAAAGACAATCGAAACCCACCTCAAGCAAAATCCAACAGAACCAAAAGAGAGATCGCAGATCTTCGATCGGCTCAAAAAGAACCTGTTAACTTCCAACCACTCCCATTACCAAATTATGATGAATATTTAAAGATCAAACAAGATTGCGACAACCTACCTAGTTATGAAGCATTCAAGAATAGCAGAGAAGGATGTGATTCACTTACAAGTTATACAGATTTCATAAACAACATTGCAAACTATGAAAAAGAGCAACACTCTAACTCATCTACAGAAGAAACTTGGCAACCTTTACCATTCCCAGGATATGAAGAATATTTGAGTATTAAAGAAGATTGTGCTATTCTCCCAAGTTATGATGAATATAAAACCATCAGAGAGAGCTGTGATGCATTCCCAAGTTACATAGAATTTATAAGAGGATATCAAATTATGAACTATTCGAGACTGGAAAACAAAGACGCATCAGAAGAGAACTATACACAGACTTCCAAGCAGCAGGAGAATTTCAATATCTCGAAAACCAATCAAACAATTTAGTACGCCATACAACCGAAGTAATGTGCGATATTTTCAATGAGCAAAATGAAGTTCTCGAAAGTCTTATCAGAGAAAGCCCCAGAAGATATATTCAGAAACAGTTGAATCATACAGCCATCAAAGTAAGGTTTATAGATTCTCAAGAGTCAAATGGAATTGTTCAAGTTACATTCTGTAAAGAAATTGATGAAGAAGAAATCGATTTCATTGATCTTACTCGTTTCGATGGATACAAGTTGAGCTTAGCGCTAACACTAGGACAAATTCCAATCAAGATTAAAAGTCTTGGAGACAAAATTTGGTACTTTAAGAATGACTACTCTGGAGGAATTATTTCCAATAAACCTCAGCTTCATCCTATGATTGATTTTAGAACTAATATTACTAACATGAAAGATTTCAAGGAATTTGATCTGAAATTCTTAGATGACAAAGTAGTGTTCAATGAGCATATTCTGTTGGATATGAAAACAAATATTGAGGAAGAACTTATAGAAGAAATGAGAGAAAAGTCTGATGTTTCGATTGAGATTCACGCGAGTAATCAAGACTCTACAATGTCTCATGAGATATTAGATGATGTAGAAGGTTTCTTTGGAAAATGGTGGCTTAGAATTTGGAGAGTTGGTGTCACTTTGCCAGCAATTTTAGTATACCTCTTTATTGCCAGATCATTCTGGATGATACTTTCACCAAAAACTTTTATTGATAGGAAAAACAGAAAACGAAGAAGAGAATATGAGGCTGTAGAATTAAGGGAAATGGTACATCGTCCATCTGTTCAATCGCTTACCGTTGATTAATTATAATACTAAATAAATAACTCAATAATGAGATTCTTCCACACACAAGAGCAAAATTCTACATCCAGTTATGTGATTAATAAACCCAACGTAAGTAATAAAATAGAACTATTAGATAAACCTCAGGAAGGACTCCCAAGTTTGAAAAACGAAGAAAATAGTAAACCACACCCCAAAGCCACGAAGGCTAAAAACAAATCAAAACTATCGAAAGAAAATAATGATTTCCTGAAAGCTCTAAAAAGTGGATCTGGTTTTAAGAGAATCTAGACTATGTGTAGTTCTATGTGTATATCACAAGTTTTACAATCAATAAGCTTATTCTCTTCATCCATAAGTTTCAATGTAAGAGTGTTACAGTATTGACAGCTTTGTGGTAGATCAAATTGATTGGTTCATACTTTATATTTTTTACGTTATTGTTGAATTTGCAAATTATGTTACTGTGAGCTTCGTTCAGAAAAGAATCGCAAATAAGGCTACAAGACAAGTAAACCAAACTATTCCTATTCCAATCCAATGTTCCATCAATCTTCACTATGGCAATAGAGTTTATCTTAATGTCATGTGGAAAATCAAATTGAAAAGCTTTTTCGTTGGACTTTAGATTTAAGAATAAGTGAACCATTTATTAGCTACTAAATTATGAAATCTGATTTCGCTGATTATTCAGTTAAAAATTTTTATTCTAAAAGAAACAACAACCCTCTTCTTCCTAGTTCAATAAGAGCTTGTATAATAGGAAAGTCTGGTTGTGGAAAGACTAACCTTTTAATGAATTTACTCTTGGATGAATATTGTGGAAACGATTATTTAGATTATGATAACTTGTACATATTCTCTACGACTCTTTTTCAACCTTGTTATCAAGCACTTGTGAATGGTTTTGAAAATGGCTTAAGCAAAAAGGAAATCAGAGAATGTTTTAAGAATCAGAATTTTATGATAGACAAAAAGGATAAGAAAGATATATCAGTTCACACTTCTGATAGTTTAGATGAAATACCTGATCCTAGTTCTATCAACCCAAATAAGAAAACTTTGATGATATTCGATGATCTAATGCTTGAAAAACAAAATAAAATAGAACAGTATTACACCAGGGGTAGGCACAATAATATAGATTGTTTTTACATTTCACAAAGTTATATAAAACTACCAAAAAACACTATCAGGGAAAACGCTAACTTTTTCATAGTTTTTTCTCAGGATAAGCTTAATTTAGACTATATCTATAGAGATCACTGTGGAGAAGTAGATAAAGCTATCTTTTTGGATATGATATCAGAAACTTGGAAGGAAAAGTATACGTTTTTCACTATAGATAAAACTAGCGATTTGGATGATGGCAAATTCAGGAAGATGTTGAAATCCTTCTTTGTCCTATGAACGCTTACGGGAGGTATTTCTTATTTTAGACATGTTTTTATTTTGGGATATTTCAAATCCGTTTTCCGTATTCCGTATTCCGTTTAGCTCGGCTAAACGGAAATAAATTTAGCTAAACGGAAAACGGAAAACGGAATACGGAATACGGAAAACGGATTTACATATATACGTAATAAAAAAACACTCGTTTCGGAGTGTCCTAAAGCAGAATATGGACATACGCAAGAAAGAAGCCAGATCAAGAAGCAAATAAATGACTGTTTTCACTTACAGACCCCACAGACTGCATATGTATGTACACATGCATGTGTGTAACGATAAATGTAGAAATAGACACTTGCATGCTTATAAAAAGTTGAAAAAGGATTGGTTGAGAAAAACTCCGGACGTTTATTACTTTATATCATCTGATCGATATTTAACAGATGTTTGGATAGTGATGGACACTATTAAAAAACATTCATTTTTTTGTGATGGTAAAATCTACGAAGACATAGATAAAAACTTCAAAACTAAATTTTATGGTGGGATCGAACCTATTTACGTTTATTGTAATGATAAGCCTTTCTGCAAACTTTATCCGAATAGTGTTATTGACATAAAAATGATTAGAAAAACTAATAGAAACGAAAAAATCCGAAAAATCGATGCACTCCTTAACGGTGAATCAGGAAGACAACAATACTCGTTTGATAATTTCCAAAAAGCCAAAGAAAAAACTAAGAAAGAACCAACAGTAAATTTCACCAACACTCTCAGGAAAACTGATACAGCTAAAAGCAGCTTCAGAAAAGGTGTGCCATCTCGAGAATTGACAATAGAAGAGAAAATAATGAATATGAAAAACGCTATTTCTGATTAACAACTAATCCAGTTTCATTTTTCTTAGCATAAACGGTTTTAACATTCTTAACACCTGCAGCGCTCACTCTAGTTAAATTGGTGTTGGCTAGTTCATCTGTATTAATATTATTTGCAATGCTGATAATCTCTTCATTGGTTATAGCATTTCTTCTATTATTCCTAGTTATGCTTAGAGAAAGTTTGGGAATTTCCACTTGTTCTGACTTCTGTTCTTCTTTATATTTCTTAGCTAGCTTGTTATAGTTGCATCTCTCTTCGTTCAATAAACGTTTCAGCTGAACATTCTCAATACTTGCTGCATTTAGAACTTCTTTAATACATTCATTCATTCCTATCTGACTTACTAAGAATGTCATAGCCTTTTTCAACTCATTTTTACTTCTGTCATCCGCTTTGATAGCATCAATACTATTATAAATGCTTTCACAGGAATTAATATATTGTATTGCAGTTTCACGTGTTATTTCACTCTTAGTATAAATACTAAGTTGGTCAATAGACTTTCCGATATCCGGAAACATTTCTAGAACTGAACGATTTAAAGTATTCAATCCAACAACACTTTTCTCCATTTATTACATGAAAAAAGACCCATGGTTTTGAAAAATGAAAAATCAGTTTCGAGGTAAGAGGAGATTTATCAAATTCGAGTTAGCAGTCGACTTCAAAGTTTTTTCTTCTACTACTCTTTCAGTTTCATATATTTTTTCAACAGCAGTTGATTTATCTTTTGACTTGATAGCAAGATATTTACTAACGTCCATATCTTTTGATAATTCTCTCAGACCTCTATATAAAGTTTGAATAGAAAGATTGTGTTGTTTAACCCATTTCGTCTTATCGATTTTTAATGGGGCTTTCTCTTGATCACAAATATACATTTTTGCTAGTAAAATAGCTTGAAATGAGGCGATGGATAGTCTTAAAGAATTTATAAGAGAGTTAGTATCTGATGGAATGAAGTTGAAACTTGGTTTTATGGAACTTCCGTCTACAGTAGATGTGTTTTTATCTTTTGTAACAAAGTAGTGCTTCTTAATAAATTTCCATTTGTCACTAGAATCTGAATTGTATTTTTTACTAGTGTTATCAAACCCTTGATACAAAGCATTTGAACACAACAATATTTTCTGATAATTTGAAATATCATCAGATTGAATTTTTTTCAAGTCGGGAGACTTTTTGATTAGTAATTCCATTAATCCTTCTGTTGCTGTGTACTCTTCATTGTTGACTTTCAGAATGTTCTGATCAAAAGTAATTCCCTTATTACCTATAGTATACTTTTTCTCATCTTTGTTAAACTTGATTGAATACCCAGCATTACTTCTATCAGATCCATCTTGAAGATAACTAACAATTAGATTGCTAACTACATGTGGTTGAGAAGAACTAGGTAGAGATGGAGGTAAGATTACTGAGGGTTGCTTAATGAGACTTTTACGATTTGTTTTTGGTGTCGAAGTGGATGGAGGTCCTATAGAAAGTTGAGAAGGAGATTTAAAGTTGTTTAGAGTTTCTACTATTTTATTCTTTTCATCAATTATTTCTTCTTGTAGTTTTTTGTTGGATTCTAAAATAGGTTTAAATACTTCAATTCTATAATCTTCTACATGTTCTAAGTCAGTTCGCTCCTGTAAGTTCTTGATTTTGTGTTCTTTTCGGTTTTTTAGAAAGTTCTGGACTATATCATTTCGCCGTTTTGGGTCGTAAATTTCAACTACAGAGTGCATTTATTATATGAAATATTATTGGTTTTAGGTTGAATTGTTCAATATTTGTGAAATTTTATTATAGGTTATAATTGATACTTTTCTTACTCTATAAATGGCCCTAAAATTAATTATGAGGAATGGAACAAAAAAGACCTTCTTACTCAAGTGAGAAAAGAAAATAAGCAGAGAAACCCTAAATTGTCTGATAATCAATTGATAAAAATGACAAAACAAGATCTCATCAACTTCCTCCAAGCTTTGACAACTCCTAATGTTGTGGAGAAAACAAGTCAAGCTAATGGGAAATATTTCAAAGTAAACGAAACAGAATTTGAGGCAGATGCTGAAAAGTTGGTAATAGAGGAACGAAAGAAGTTTCCAGAAACCAAAAATAGTAAGCATCTTAAAATGACTATGTTCAATCATATAGATTCTGAGTCACAAATTCATAAGTGTTTAGATGAAATATATATAGAAGAGAATAATGCAATTAAGCTGAACCTAAGTTTCGGCTATGTAACCGTGAAAAATAATGATTTGAAACTATTTAAACCTGGACGCAACTATTTCTTCGATACAGTGAAACAAATAAACAACGCTGAAGACATCTCAAATTTGAAAAAGGAAATAACTGTTGAAACTATTACACACAAGCTAACTAACAGATTTCCTGATTCATCAACGCGTTTAGTTGGTGTCTATGCTATGGCAGCAAAAATTACTCGATTAGATTTTCCTATTGGAGCACCGATTAATTTACCTCAATACATCTTGAACTCCACCTCAATCATAAGTCTACAGAATGTTGATAACAATTTGTGTTTCTGGTATTGTGTTGCTGTTGCTGATGAAGAGTGCAGAAAAGATAGAGCTAGCAGGAAAGCTAAGGAGTTATTCAAAAACTTCTATGGAACTAAGAAACGTGTTACGGATTATGTTGGATTTGATTATGTTAACGAGCTTGATAGATATGAAAAGTTTAATGAAAAATATGCAATAAATATTGTAAGCTATTATGAAGATGGAACAATTCCATATATTAGAAAATCATCTTTCAATGATTCAAGAAAACCTATCTACCTAAATTTATATCTCAACCACTTTTCATACATAACTGATTTCAGTAAACTATCTTCTATCTTCTTGTGTCAAAGGTGTGGAAAGAAATTTGGAGATAATGCTAATCTGGATAGACATTATGAGACTTGCGCCTTAACACAAGAAGACGTATTTTGTAAATATCCATCACTCTGGAAGAAGGATAGAAACCTAATAGTAGAATTAGCTGATACCTATGATGTAGATGTTGATTTTAAGTATGATTATATGATAACTTTTGATATGGAGTCTAGAATGCAAAAAATGAACGATAAGGTTAGTGATAAATTAACATACACTATGAAACACATTCCGACGTCTGTGGCGATTGCTACAAATGTACCTGGGTTTGAAGATGATAAGTTTATATTAAATGAAGATCCTAATGAGCTAGTGAAAGAAATGTTTAAATGGTTTGATGATGTGGCTTCGAAAGCAAGTCAACTAATGTTAGAGAAAATGCAACCACTATTATGTCGATTAGAATCTAATGATAGATTGAAATCCAAGGTGCAACGATATTGTGAAGTGATTCCTATAGTTGGATTTAATAGTAGTTTCTATGACATAAACTTAATATCTACACCTTTCATTCAAGAAATTATGAAGAGAAGAGAACTAGATAAAATTGACCCAATGGTAATTAAAGAAGGAAACAGATACAAGACTATAAAGACAGGACAGTTTCAATTTCTAGATCAAATGAGTTATGTCGCTGCTGGTACTAAATTAGAAAGCTTCATCAAAGCATATGTTAATGTTCAAAAAGGATGGTTTCCTTATGAATGGTTTGACTCCTATGATAAGCTGAATTATCTAACACTCAATTTGACAATAGAAGATTTTAATTCTTCATTGAATGGTTCTATGGCTCAAGAAAACTTTGAAGACTTGATGAAGATTTGTGTTGATAAAAATTTAGTGACAGTTAGAGATTTATTAGAATGGTATAATATCTTAGATGTAAGACCAATGTTAGAAGCTTGTTTGAAACAAAAAGAATTCTTTTACACATTCAAGCTAGACATGTATAAAGATGCTTGTTCGCTACCAGGTCTTAGTGAAAATATTTTGTATCAGTTTCAAATTAGTGGATTCGAGGAATATTTGAAAGAAAAACCGAAGAAGATTGAGCATTATACCCCTATAAGTGAAACACAAATAAATAAGAGAATAGATGGTTATCGTCAACAAGATGAAAAAGCAAAAAGACCACCTTGTAATTTGACTGTTAATTGTGTTAGAGAAATATTAGAAAATGGGAACCATAGTTGTATATACTGTTGGTTAGAGTTAGGTAGTGATACATGGTCTCTTGATAGAATTGATAATGCTCTGCCTCATGCCAAATCCAATTGTGTAGCTTCCTGTATCAAATGTAACAAAGCTAGATCAGATAAGATGTTCAAAGAGTTTTACAGACACAAAGCAATGTTGAGATTCGAAAAGGATCATCCAATGATCTGGTTGTTTGGAGAAGAAAACAAAAATGCATTCTACAAGCTCAAAAAGAATATAACTGGTGGTGCATCTATTGTGTTTCATAGATATCATGAAGTAAATAAAACAGAAATAACACGAGCTCATTACAACGGTACCGAATGGACGTATCCAGAAAAAGGTAAAGCTGTGAAGAAAATAGTAGGGTTCGATGCAAACGCTTTATACCTTCATTCTCTGGGTGAGGAAATGCCGTGTGGAAAACTATATTTTAAGGAGAGTAATAATTGGAGTGAAATACAGAAACAAGTTTTAGAGAATTCTTTCTTTGGATTTTTAGAAGTGGATATTGAAGTCCCTAAAGATAAGTGGAACTATTTTAGTGAGATGTGTCCAATCTTTGTAAATAAGGAATATGATGAAACTATCTGTGGAGATTATACATTAAATCTTTTGGAATCCTTAGAAAGAAAACCAACAAAAAGTAGAAAGTTAGTTGTTTCACTTCAAGCCAAACAAATATTAATTAAATCTACAAGACTGCGGTGGATGTTAGAACATGGTTGTGTAGTTACAAAACTCTATGGATATATTGAAGCTAAACGGAGAAGAATTTTTAAAGGTTTCATGGATTGGGTCTCAGATGAAAGAAGAAAAGGTGACGTTGACTCAAAGTATGCAATCATCTCAGAAGGTGCTAAACTTGTTAGTAATAGACAAGAGTTCGAGTCTCTCTTTTTTTTGTAATGTTTTTTTTCACTCGGGGGACGTTCGGTTAGCTGTGAACCCCAAACACAGCTTCTGCAAGGCAGATTAACTTTGAGTGTTGTGGGAAATTGATGTCGCGAACATGTGGCCAACATGTCAAGGAGTCTACCCGTCTTTCCTAGTAGACCGAGCAACACCCGTCGGTGTCCGTCTTTCCTATTAGACCGTGCAGTAGATTTCCTTCTCTGGCGTTTACCGCCTGCGCCATCTGTCCCACATTTGAAAAAGCTCTCATTGTCGAATATAAGTGTTACTGATAAGAGGGGTAGTATGGAAAATGGTGACGTATGGAGAGTGAAAAGAGGGAGAAGAGGGTTAGGGGGTTCAGCCCACCTGTCATAATAGACGTCAGCGGGATGAGGGACAGTGTTTTTTTTCTTTTGAAGTTATTCAAAGTTTTTGATGATTTTATCAAGAATTTGCCTAAAACCCTTCCATTTGGAGGGGTTTTTTAAAATGGGAAAAGTGGTATTATTTTCGTACTCGGAGTACGATTTTCGTGCTCGCCTAAAATGGGTGTTTTTCAGCTAATTGTCTTGATAATTTAAGGAAACAGAAGAGAAACTGGAGAAATATGGGGGAAAATGGAGATTTTAAAAAATGGGGGGGGGGGGGG